GCGTGTTTCTTTACACTGGTTGTCTCTGTTCACCCATCAGTAAAATGGGTACCTAGGAGTTAGTTGACTGGGGTGGGTTGCATCTTGAGACAATGACCTAATTTGCTTGAAATGCTCTGCATAACAAGGGGCTTTCTGAATAGAAATACAGTATGTCATTGATGCCAGCTAGGCATGTATATTATGTACATGTACTTGTAGTAAATAAAGATACATATTATTTTTCTTCTTCTTATTATTATTATTTCTTTCTTTCTTTCAACACACCGGCCATATCCCACCAAGGCAGGGTGGCCCAAAAAGAAAAACGAAAGTTTCTCTTTTAAATTTAGTAATTTATACGGGAGAAGGGGTTACTAGCCCCTTGCTCCCGGCATTTTAGTCTCCTCTTACAACACGCATGGCTTACAGAGGAAGAATTCTGTTCCACTTCCCCATGGAGATAGGAAATAAACAAGAACAAGAACTAGAAAGAAAATAGAAGAAAACCCAGAGGGGTGTGTATATATATGCTTGTACATGTATGTGTAGTGTGACCTAAGTGTAAGTAGAAGTAGCAAGACGTACCTGAAATCTTGCATGTTTATGAGACAGAAAAAAGGACACCAGCAATCCTACCATCATGTAAAACAATTACAGGCTTTCGTTTTACACTCATTTGGCAGGACGGTAGTACCTCCCTGGGCGGTTGCTGTCTACCAACCTACTACCTAGAATTATTATTATTATTATTACAGTGGACCCCCGGTTAACGATATTTTTTCACTCCAGAAGTATGTTCAGGTGCCAGTACTGACCGAATTTGTTCCCATAAGAAATATTGTGAAGTAGATTAGTCCATTTCAGACCCCCAAACATACACGTACAAACGCACTTACATAAATACACTTACATAATTGGTCGCATTCGGAGGTAATCGTTATGCGGGGGTCCACTGTATTATAGTTTGTCTGCTTGAAATGATGTGCATTGTATGGGATTGTCAATTTTTCTTGCGTGGATAATTTTTGGGGAAATGCCAGTAAAATATTTGTATTTATTTGTATTTGTATCTTGCCAACTGTCCTATTGTTTAGATCCACATATTTATGATTTTATTCAGTTAGGGCACTAACTTTAAATATAAATAACCATTAGTGAACAAGTTACCACTTTCACTTTCAGTGTACACTTGAGAAAAGACAATTTTAGGAATAGGAAAAAGCAAAATAGAAAAGTAAGGATAAATAATAAGAATAAGGAAACTAGATGACTTGGTAAAACTTTAGTTATAGTAGAACGTTGTCAAAAATAGACTTATTCTGCATACTTGGCTTGAAGGCAAGGGAAAACTGAAGAGTTGAAAAAACAGAGCAGACCACTAGGTGGCATTGCTTCTAAGTGTCACTGCCACTGGCTGGCATCTTGTTGTGATTGTATCTTAAAAAAAAAATAACCTGATTGGGGAAAAGGTGTTCATTCTACTTCTCATATGGTAGTGCCAGTGGGTAATGGAAGACTCCCTGTTTGTGACTTCACTTTGTTTTGATGAGTGTTTGTGAATTTTTTTTATTTTAAGAGGTTTTATGTTCATGTATATTCGAGTAGGGAATCTTGATTGGCATGTATCGCTGAATGACCTTTAGATCCCAGTGGTCTGTAAATCTTAAAACTTCCTTCCCTATCTGTTGCTTATAGTTATTTGTTTATGCTAAATAAATGGGCAATGTTTTTATCTCTAATAATTTTTTAATTTCAGAGATGCTTTGTTTTTTTTCCTACTTCTGGTGGATCTTAGTAGGGCTAGCCTTCTGGCTCAGTTTGCCTTGTCGTCCTCCAGTCAGACGGAAGTCCACACGAATATTGCTTACGGCATGGCTCGTCTAGGACCTTCTCTCACGCTTGACACTATTGTTGAGGCCCTAGTCATTGGTGCTGGCACACTCTCAGGTAGGTATAGGTAGGAGTGCATAGAAATAAAATGTAAAGGGGCAAATATTGTTACTCAGGTATAGGGAAGAGCACATAGAAATAAAATGTAAAGGAATTAACATTGCAGTATTCTAGTGCTGTGGAACACACACTTTATACTTAGTTTTAGGATGTATTTGGAATTGAGTTTAGAATGAATCTCTGATAGAGTTTTGAAAGGCATCACTTTTAAATAGAAATCTAAGTGTTATAGAGTGGCTTGCAGTTTTATGTTATTTTAAAAAGACAGTTTGAGTCTTTCAACTTGATGAGCTACTGATGCTGTAAAGACTGAGCAATAAAATACAAATGCTTCATGTTCTAATGTTATTTACAGGTGTCAGCCGTCTGGAGCAGATGTGTGCATTTGCCTGCATGTCCATTGTTGTTAACTACATTGTCTTCATGACCTTCTTCCCTGCCTGTCTCTCTCTTGTCCTCGAGGTGAGACACCATTTCAACTGTTGCTCCAAATAAATTTTTATATTACTGCCACTCAACCTTGGTGCATGGTAACATTTCAATAGACCTTTCATGTCTTTCAGTACAATCTGAAGTCTTACAGTATTGTATCCTTCTATATTTACATTTGTGATACTGTAATATGAAATTTCATTTTGCATAATTAATATTAAAATTACTGTTGTAATTCAAACAAACATTTAATAGATACTAAAATAGAAGAAGTTTTAGTGTTTATCATGTGAGGATGCAGAATTATGGGCAAGTGAACTTCGGTATATATTATTTTAGAGTGTAATTGTTGGACTAATTATAAAACACACACTAAATTAATGTTATATTTCAGCTGTCAAACAGATGCTCTTCTGGACAACCTCCATGGCAGATGGCAACGCTAGCTCGTGCCATGGTCGAGGAAGAGAAGCCAAATCCTGTTGTCCAGCGAGTCAAGGTACTGTACTTACTGTATGACACTTGTTTAAGGAGTATTATCAGACTACATTTGGATTCATTTAAAGAAATAGCAATGGACATTACTGAGTGGAAGCAGTTTTGTTAGGAGCAAGTGAATGATTCGTACACAAATATCAGACACAGAGAAAAACAAGTGACAATGTTTCAGTCAGACTTGGATCATGAACTAGTTACATGCTCATTTGTGACTAGTTAATGCTCCAAGTCGGACTTAAATGTTGTCATTAGTTTCTTTCTCTCATGTGTGGGATATTTGTGTATTGTTCTAGTCATGGTATTGTGCCTTTTTATTCTTTTTGAAGTGAATGATTGACATATATACATATGAAGTACTTGTTACTTGGGTTCTGAAAGGGCTGAGATAAAGTGGATAATTTTTAAGAAGTGATGTGTTATTTAAACCTATGTTGTGAGATAATCAGCCTGATGTGCTATCCATTATGCTGCAATGACATGGATAGCAAGCTAAGCTGGTAGTCTCAGGACGGCCACACCAGTGATTGAAATCACAATCATTGCTAAATATGGTTTCATTCATCTTGAAATGAAGATCAGAATTTATAATATAACTAATAGAGTTGATAATACAGGTCATGCATGCTGTAATATAAATATTCATAGGTAGTCTTTAGTTTGGAAAACAAGAACTGTGTTCACAAAATTTTTTTGAGAAGGGATGACTGTATATTACATAATTTAAGATATGTGTGATAGAGGCTTGGGTGTCCAGCAAACATGCGTAAGTGTGTTATGTGAGGAACAGGTAATGTTGTGATTCATTAGTTCTTTGAAATGTGATGCCTGTGCATATCCAGAGAGACCACTAGAGAATGAGTGATAGTGAATGCTCTTCCATTTTTGGATAACCCTACCTTGGTGGGAGATAACCAATGCACTAAAAAACGAGTTTAATGTTGAAAGGTGAGGTGAGATGATTATTGTGAAAAGAGTACTGTATATCAGTTGAAGAATTTTGGAAGAGTTATGGCATAAGTAGTGTTATTGTATAGTACGTATAAGTACTGTAGATGGCTAATAGTATATTGTTATGAAAAATAGATAAAGGTGTTGTCACACATTACCAAATATATAACTTATTTTTTTGCCTTGCACTGTATGTGTGCATGCATGTGTGCACATGCACATGTGTACTGTCTGATGTTAACCTTACATGGTTTGTCACAACAGGTTATAATGTCTGCTGGTCTCCTGCTAGTACATGGCATCACCCGTTGGTCGCTCTCCCTTTCATCAAATACTGTTACACTGATGGACAATGCTTCTTTTAACTCGTCTACTGATCCACATGTTATTGTCAGGTTAGTAGTATCAGGTATTGTGTGAATAAAATTTCGATCCAGAGGGTTTGGTTTTTTGTTTGATGGTGTGTTGGTCTTAAGTATGGTTACAAACTTCTTTTTTTTTCCCATTAATCCTCCATTAGATTGGTGCAAAAAATTTTCAGAGAATAAAAAACCCCTTTCCCAGAATTCCTTTTGTTCCTCTGCAGCCCTGCTTTCTGTCTTCCCCTTAATTCTTTCATTAACCCTTTCGGGGTTTCGGGCCGTACTAGTACGGCTTCGCCCCAGGGGTTTTGAGTATTTTGTACGCCCAAATTCTAGCACCTTCAGATTAGTGAGAGAAAGCTGGTAGGCCCCAATATAAAAAAAAAAGGGGTTTTGGTCATATGAAAAGTATAAAAAAAAATTTTGCAGCAACAGTGTGTAAGAGAAAAAAAAAAAAATTTGACCGTGTTTTTTTTATTAAAACAGTGACTTTTCACTGTATTTTTTGTATGGTATTTATTGTTTTTTTAGTTTTTCCCGGTCTCATTTAAGAAGGAAAAATTTAAGAAATTTTAAGATTTTGACTGGTTTTACAAAGAAAAATAACCCTTTAAAATTTAGCTCAAAATAGCAGAATGTTTGATTTTTTCCCAAAATTAAAAGTAAAAAAAACTGCTAAAGGGGCCCAAAACACTCAACTGGTGATCGTATTTTTTCACAAGTGCGATGATTTATTTATTCCATTTTTACACTAAAGCAGGTTCATAACGTAAATCTTCTATTTTTTTTTAAAAAAAAAAATTCAAATGGAAAACCCAAAAAAAATATAAAAGGGGGCCTGGGATGTGACTAATGAAAAAGAACTTTTATTTTTTGTGCAGGAATGTCTTTTTTAGTTTTTTCGGACCCTATTCGGAAATTGGCATTTTTAAAATTTTTGTGAAATTGGCAAAAATTGCTAAATTATGACCACTTTAAAATTTGGGTAATTGAAATCGGAAATGGGTGGTTTTTTTTTTACTCTTCGAAAGAAAAAAGGGGAGTTCAGCAAATAGTTATGATTTTTTCGACTAGTTCAAAATGGGAAATTTGGCGAAAATAGGGCTCAAAGTGGGGAATCCCTTCACTAAATTTTAAACCCTGCTCACACTCCAACAGATCGTCAGGTCCCAAGTATCATTCGTCTCCATTCACTCCCATCTAACACGTTCATGCATGCTTGCTGGAAGTCCAAGCCCCTCGCCCACAAAACCTCCTTTACCCCCTCTTTCCAACCCTTTCGAGGACGACCCCTACCCCTCTTTCCTTCCCCTATAGATTTATATGCTTTCCATGTCATTCTACTTTGATCCATTCTCTCTAAATGACCAAACCACCTCAACAACCCCTCTTCTGCCCTCTGACTAATGCTTTTATTAACTCCACACCTTCTCCTAATTTCCACACTCCGAATTTTCTGCATAATATTTACACCACACATTGCCCTTAGACAGGACATCTCGACTGCCTCCAACCGTCTCCTCGCTGCTGCATTTACCACCCAAGCTTCACATCCATATAAGAGTGTTGGTACTACTATACTTTCATACATTCCCTTCTTTGCCTCCATAGATAACGTTTTTTGACTCCACATATACCTCAACGCACCACTCACCTTTTTTCCCTCATCAGTTCTATGATTAACCTCATCCTTCATAAATCCATCCGCCGACACGTCAACTCCCAAGTATCTGAAAACATTCACTTCTTCCATACTCCTCCCCCCCAATTTAATATCCAATTTTTCTTTATCTAAATCATTTGATACCCTCATCACCTTACTCTTTTCTATGTTCACTTTCAACTTTCTACCTTTACACACATTCTCAAACTCATCCACTAACCTTCGCAATTTTTCTTTAGAATCTCCCATAAGCACAGTATCATCAGCAAAAAGTAACTGTGTCAATTCCCATTTTGAATTTGATTCCCCATAATTTAATCCCACCCCTCTCCCGAACACCCTAGCATTTACTTCTTTTACAACCCCATCTATAAATATATTAAACAACCATGGTGACATTACACATCCCTGTCTAAGACCTACTTTTACCGGGAAGTATTCTCCCTCTTCTACACACCCTAACCTGAGCCTCACTATCCTCATAAAAGCTCTTTACAGCATTTAGTAACTTACCACCTATTCCATAAACTTGCAACATCTGCCACATTGCTCCTCTATCCACTCTATCATATGCCTTTTCTAAATCCATAAATGCAATAAAAACTTCCCTACCTTTATCTAAATACTGTTCACATATATGCTTCAATGTAAACACTTGATTTACACATCCCCTACCCACTCTGAAGCCTCCTTGCTCATCTGCAATTCTGCATTCTGTCTTACCTCTAATTCTTTCAATTATAACTCTACCGTATACTTTTCCTGGTATACTCAGTAAACTTATTCCTCTATAATTTTTACAATCTCTTTTGTCCCCTTTCCCTTTATATAAAGGGACTATACATGCTCTCCGCCAATCCCTAGGTACCTTCCCCTCTTTCATACATTTATTAAACAAAAGTACCAACCACTCCAACACTATATCCCCCCCTGCTTTTAACATTTCTGTCATGATCCCATCAGTTCCAGCTGCTTTACCCCCTTTCATTCTACGTAATGCCTCATGTACCTCCACCACACTTACATTCTGCTCTTCTTCACTCCTAAAAGATGGTATACCTCCCTGGCCAGTGCATGAAATTACCGCCTCCCTTTCTTCGTCAACATTTAAAAGTTCCTCAAAATATTCTCGCCATCTACCTAATACCTCCCTCTCCCCATCTACTAACTCCCCTACTCTGTTTTTAACGGACAAATCCATACTTTCCCTAGGCTTTCTTAACTTGTTTAACTCACTCTAAAATTTTTTCTTATTTTCATTAAAATTTCTTGACGGTGCCTCTCCCACTCTTTCATCTGCTCTCCTTTTGCACTCTCTCACCACTCTCTTCACCTTTCTTTTACTCTCCATATACTCTGCTCTTCTTATAACACTTCTGCTTTGTAAAAACCTCTCGTAAGCTACCTTTTTCTCTCTTATCACACCCTTTACTTCATCATTCCACCAATCACTCCTCTTTCCTCCTGCCCCCACCCTCCTATAACCACAAACTTCTGCCCCACATTCTAATACTGCATTTTTAAAACTATTCCAACCCTCTTCAACCCCCCCACTACTCATCTTTGCACTAGCCCACCTTTCTGCCAATAGTCGCTTTTATCTCGCCCGAACTTCCTCCTCCCTTAGTTTATACACTTTCACCTCCCTCTTACTTGTTGTTGCCACCTTCCTCTTTTCCCATCTACCTCTTACTCAAACTGTAGCTACAACTAAATAATGATCTGATAAAATCATTGCCCCTTTAAACATGTAACATCCTGGAGCTACCTCAACCTTTTTATCCATCAATTTTAATCTAACAAAATACTTCTTTACTGCTACATATACCTTGTATATTTATTTATCCTCTTTTTCATAAAATAGTATTACTTTTTACCAAAATTTCTTTCTAACAAGCTAAATTTAAAAAGGCTCCCTTTACATTTACCCCTGGACCCCAATTTACCTTACTAACTCCCCCCCCAAAAAATTTTTTTCCCATTTTAGCATTGAAATCCCCAACCACCATTTCTCTCACACTTGATTCAACTCCCCACGTTTTCACTCAACTTTTCCCCGAATCTTTTCTCTCTCCTCTACACTTCTCTCTTCTCCAGGTGTATACACGCTTACTATAACCCACTTTTCACATCCAATCTTTATTTTACTCCACATAATCCTTGAATTTATGCATTTGTAGTCCCTCTTTTCCTGCCATAGCTTATCCTTCAACATTATTGCTACTCCCTCTTTAGCTCTAACTCTATTTGAAACCCCTGACCTAATCCCATTTATTCCTCTCCATTGAAATTCTCCCACCCGCTTTGTTTCACTTAAAGCCAGGACATCCAGTTTCTTCTCATTCATAACATCCACAATCATCTCTTTCTTATCATTTGCACAACATCCACGCACATTCAGACTTCCCACTTTGACAGTTTTCTTCTTCTTATTCTTTTTAGTAATCTTTACAGGAAAAGGGGTTACTAGCCCATTGTTCCCAGCATTTTAGTTGACTTTTACAACACGCATGGCTTACGGAGGAAAGATTCTTATTCCACTTCCCCATGGATATAAAAGGAAAAGTAATAAGACCAAGAACTATTAAGATAAAATCAAAGAAAACTCAGATGAGTGTGTGTAAATAAATGTGTACATGTATGTGTAGTGTGACCTAAGTGTAAGTAGAAGTAGCAAGACGTACCTGTAATCTTGCATATTTATGAGACAGACAAAAGACACCAGCAATCCTACCATCATGTAAAACAATTACAGGCTTTCGTTTTACACTCACTTGGCAGGACGGTAGTACCTCCTTGGGTGGTTGCTGTCTACCAACCTACTACCTATAAGTGTTGACAGGAAATAAGAAAATAAAAGCTATTCAGCCTTTTTAAAATGTGACTTACTTAGTAAAAATTTAGATTTTTTTCTGTGTATTTTTTAAACCGTGAAAATTATTGTTTATTTTTTATAAATAACAAATGGTTAGATTGGCTATGTGATATTGTGTGTTTAATTAGAGGTGGATTTTAGCTCTTGTTCCACCTTGTAACTTTCAGGTGACTGATATTAAATAACCATGTCGTATCTATTTTGGAACTGTATGGGGTGTATTGTACTGTGGGTGTGAGCGTGGTGCTGCTTATTGTGTATTATGTGGCTGCCATGTATATTTGGCTGCACACTTTCAATAGTTTAAATTCGAAAATAGATGGGGGTGGAGCCCACATAAAAGGCAGCCTTCATGCTGAACACACCAGTGTCTGGCTGTTGGTGATGTTTGCACGACCAGTTCTCTGAGGTGTCAGGTTATATACTTTATATTCTACCATTAAAGTATTATTAATAAAAAAATTCTTGGAAAGAAGGTTGAGCTTATAGCATAATTTAAGATGAAATCAGTTGATAGAACAGAAAATTTCACATATATTAAGCATATTCGTTCAGGTAAGGGAGTAGGTTAACAAGTAAGAGTGAATTACTGTATTTATGGGGGAAGCACCTAACCCATAGGGGTAATACATTATCTTGGGAATGGGCAATAATTAGGTTTGATGCCAGGGAAGGGTAGCTCTAGTGCCTTGAATCAAGAGCCATTCACCAGCATCAAGCATGAAGTACATGAGATTACATTTTACTCGATATAGTTTGTGACCCATCAACATACAAGTACAGTGGTACCTCGAGTTGCGAACTTAATTCGTTCCAGAAGTCTGTTCAGTTGCTGATACCGAACGAATTTGTTACCATATGGAATAATGTAAATTAGATTAGTCCGTTTCAGACCCCCAAAAATGCACTTACATAATTGTTCGAGTTGGGAGCTGTTCGAAACTCGAGGTACCACTGTATAAGTTCTTTTATCAAGCATGAACTTCATTGTCAACTAACGTGATCTTCACTTCGATTCTTCTCCCTCCCCATTCCCTTGACTGGAAATGGTAATAAAATATTTTGCAAGGAGAGTGCAGATTGTGTTAAGAGGAAATAGTTGTTGATTGTTTACAATGTACATTAATGGAGTTATAGGTTTGAGGATAATTTAAATTGTGATGTGCACTTTGGAATAGCTAGAGAACGAATGATGGTAAATGTTTCCTTCTTTGGGTCGCCTCTACCTTAGTAGAAATTGGCTGATGTATTAAAATAAAAAGGATTGTGGATAATGTTGTATAATTCTTAAAGGTTCAGAGCATTTTTTTTTATTTTATTTATTTTTTTTTGATATAATGGGAAGTACAATGCCTGCACTTTAAAGGAGGGGTTTGGGATATTGGCAGTTTGGAGGGATATGTTGTGTATCTTTATACTTATATGCTTCTAAACTGTTGTATTCTGAGCACCTCTGCAAAAACAGTGATTATGTGTCAGTGAGGTGAAAGTGTTGAATGATGATGAAAGTATTTTTCTTTTTGGGGATTTTCTTTCTTTTTTGGGTCACCCTGCCTCGGTGGGAGATGGCCGACTTTAAAAAAAAAAAAAATAATATCAGTTGTGGAAAAAGGAATGTATTGTATTTATGAACAGCTAGTTACTATAGATTGTGACCATAAGGAATAAATGCAAATAAAAAATTTAAATGCTCATGAAGTATGAAATATTGTAAGGAGTTTCTATTTATTTTTTTATTTTATTAGTATTTTTAAAAAAGTTGGTAAACTGAATGCTTGATGAAAAATTAATAGATCATTGGATAAGTGAGGGAAGTAATGACAGAAATAAATTTGGAATAATAAAATTAAAAGCTGGACTTTAAAGTCCTGGAGGTGGGAAATACCTGCACTTTGAAGGAGTTTGGAATATTTGCTGTTTAGAGTTACGTCTAAACTGTTGTATCTAAATGCCTCTGGAAAGAGTGGTAGTGTAAATGATGGTAAAAAAATTTTTTTTTTTTTTTGTCACCCTGCCTCAGTGGGAGACAGTATTGTTAAAAAGAAAAATTAAGTGTAATTTCTAAATAGTTGTTGCTAATACTATATTGCATACTTCAAAAAGGATTTATATAATCAGCAGTATATGGTTTGGTGTTGATAACTAATAGTATATTTTGTTTTGGTCACTCAATTACCATTGCATTCAGTAGTATCCAATTATTATTATTGATTTAAAAAAGTGTGATCTGCCTTTTACCTACTGTATTTTTTATGCTTTACCTGTTTTAATTTATCTTTAACTTCACCTATATATTTTCTTTCACTTGTATAGTTTTTACTTTGGTTCATACCTTCCTTTTGAGGTAATTTTTGTGTATGTTGCTCTGCTTTATATACACATGAGTAGCAGTGAATGGCTTGTATGGGCTTAGCGCTTTCTTTGAATACAATACTACTTTATACATGGGAAGAGGTGGAGTGTAGAGTGACTTAATTTTCTCCACAGATTGCTGGATGCAGGGCTGGACCACATTGTGTTTATGGTGATTCTCGTTGCTCTGATTGTCAAGTATGTGCTGTTTGAGTCACAAGGTCAGTTAGAGGAAAATCTCATCCATGATAGTCTTCAGCCCTCTCAGGATTCCCTCGATAACTCTGGGCTTTCTGGCAAAGGTAAGTGCATAAAAACACTTTTTTTGGTAAAGTGAAACAGAGAGTTGTAGGTGAGATCCAAACTAATGATCTGGAGTGACAACTTTGGTGATGGAGGGTTGATGATACTGTTGCCAGGTATGGTTGCATAGGCATTATTTGCTTTGGTAATGCAGAGCTGATTATTAGAATCAGTGCCTTTTGCAAAACAAAGTTTTTAATAGATAATTTACATTGTGGCATACATGTTATTTAGAGAAATTTGATATGGAGGATTATCATATGCTAGACTTCATTTCCGAGTTAAAGATGTGGTCTCTGAAATTGGGAATGGTTATGAGATAATGTCATCATGAAGGAAGGACACAGGTGGAAAACAAACTTCTGTCAGGACTGTTTCACTTTTGTAGAGCTTAAAAATACATATAATGACTTGATAAAACTCAATATCAAGATGTTATCCTGAAAAAAAAAAAAAAACTTGTTTAGCAATGTTTTTTCCTCATTATCTGTAGTACAACATTTGTATTCACCTAATATTATCACAGTAAACATGTAATGGAATCCCATTTAAAATGGGTTTCTGTGGACTTTTTACTGATTGGTGGCCTTTGGCAAATGTGGAGGCCATTAACACTATAGGGAAAGGTGGGAAGAATGGTTTGTGCATGCAGAAACATGCCTAGTAGTTTTCAGATTAGATGTATAGGCATATAAATGTATGTATTGGCATATGGATGTATTTACTGATATATACATCACTAGTACAAAAGAAGAGAATTGTAATGCATTTGCATATTTTGGCCTAGCTTGTACGTATAAGAATGTGACTTGCCTTCTCCAATATAATTTTCTCTGCTAAGCTCTTATCATTTCCTATTTTATTTTTTGCTTACTGTTTTTTCATATTTCTGGCAGCTACTGCTTTTTTGCATAGTTTGGCATGGCAAAAAAAAAAAATGTTATTTACCCTGGATGTGTGATAAATAGCATTATCAGCATGCATGATTCTAGTAAATATCTCAAGTATTGCAATTACTTTATCGACATGTGAATATGTTGAGGTGGTTGGTAAGTGACTGTTTTAATGAAACTTTTTGCTTGTACACCTTGTTTTAACCCCTTGACTGTCGCCGTCGTATATATAAGTCATAGGAGATACCGTGTTTGACATATCTATACGCATAAATTCTAGCGGCTTCAAATCAAGCAGGAGAAAGCTGGTAGGCCCACATGTGAGAGAATGAGTCTCCATGGTCAGTGTGCACCATATAAAAAAAATCGGGGAGCCAGTGGTGCATTGTGGGAATACCATTTCAGTTGTCCTTTTTCAGCATGTCTAGTGGTAAGAAATATGTGACTCCCCAGCAAATCTGGGACTCTTCTCTTCCCAAGTGATGCTCTAACACAGATGGAAGTGTCAGTGAAGATCAATTTCATGATTTCGAGGAGTTTGAGACCAAAAGCAATGGAGGAGGAGGAAGAGGAGGAGGAGGAGGAAGAAGAGGAGGAGGAGGAAGAAGAGGAGGAGGAGGAAGAAGAAGAGGAGGAGGAGGAAGAAGAGGAGGAAGAGAGAGGAGAAGAAGAGGAGGAGGAAGGAAGGAAGGAGGAAGAGGAGGAAGGAGGAGGAAGGGAGGAAGAAGGGAGGAGGAGGAGGAGGAGGGAGAGGAGGGGAGGAGGAGGAGGGGAAGAATAAGAAGAGGAGGAGGAGGAAAGAAGAATAATATAATAAATAATACCTAATAATATTAATAATTGTTCCCTTGAGGCATGAAAACAGTTCACCCCATGACAGTGACAAGATAAGGGGAGATAACATCTGATAAGAGCTGACCTTTGATGAGCATAAACGAGGGTGGAGGGAGGGGGGCAGCTGTCTATCTGTCTAGCTCTCTGTTTCAGAGCCAGGAGGAGGAGAAGAAGAAGAAGGAAGAGGAGAGGAGAAGAATGAGAAGAAGGAAAGAAGAAGGAGAAGAAGAAGGAGAAGAAGAAGGAGAAGAGAAAGAGAAGAAGAAAGAGAAGAAGAAAGAGAAGAAGAAAGAGAAGAAGAAAGAGAAGAAGAAAGAGAAGAAGAAAGAGAAGAAGGAGAAGAAGAAGGAGAAGAAGAAGAAGGAGAAGGAGAAGAAGAAGAAAAAAGAGAAGAAGAAGAAGACGACGACGACGAACAAACATTTGTCTGTCTGTCTATTTGTCTGTCTGCCAAGCTCCCTGTCTATCTGTCTAGCTCTGTCTCAGAGAGAGCCACAAGACTGTGTCATCATCATGTTTACTCACATCTTCAAGCAGAGTATAGCACTTTGTCTGGATTTTTTGGGTTATCCTAGGTAATTTACACTATGTATACTTGTATTTATGTGTACCTGTGAGACAGAGATAGACAGACAGAGAGAAAGAGAGAGACAGATTGAAAGAGATAGAATGAGGAAGAAAGATAATTAGATAGAATGGAGGGGAAGCAGCATCCGACCCCATTGTTTTGACAGGCTGGAGGGGGAGTGAGTAATGAGACAATATGTCATTTTGACATCTGCCGACTCCTGACTCAAAACAATTATAAGCCACACACTCGCACACAAGACAAGCTTGCTGAATGGTGATAATAGCAGTTTTATGAAAGTATCTAGTGACTATATATGTGTATATATATTATAGAAACCAGAAGCAAGAAGGGAAGGCAGGAATGAAGGAAGGACTAGATGAAAGGAAGGAAAAAATTAAGGAAGGACAGATGAAGGAATGTAGGAAGAGAAGTGGAATGCCCTCCAGGTAGGAAAGGAATGAAGGAAATTAGGAAGGAAGGAATGATGACACACGACCATTTACCTAGGATAACTACATAACATAACTGCCTGCTAATACTTTGAAGAAAACTGCTCAGACGAGGTGTTTTGTCTTTGTACATAAAAAAAAAACTTCCACAAAAATGCACACACACTGATTTTATGTGTGAGATTGTAAAACACCATTGTGTATGACACCATGTTTTATGTGTGAGAGTGTAAAACACCACTGTGTATGACACCATGTTTTATGTGTGAGAGTGTAAAACACCACTGTGTATGACACCATGTTTTATGTGTGAGAGTGTAAAACACCACTGTGTATGACACCATGTTTTATGTGTGAGGAGTGTAAAACACCACTGTGTATGACACCATGTTTTATGTGTGAGAGTGTAAAACACCACTGTGTATGACACCATGTTTTATGTGTGAGAGTGTAAACACCACGTGTATGACACATGTTTTATGTGTGAGAGTGTAAAACACCACTGTGTATGACACCATGTTTTATGTGTGAGGAGTGTAAAACACCACTGTGTATGACACCATGTTTTATGTGTGAGGAGTGTAAAACACCACTGTGTATGACACCATGTTTTATGTGTAAGAGTGTAAAACACCACTGTGTATGACACCATGTTTTATGTGTAAGAGTGTAAAACACCACTGTGTATGACACCATGTTTTATGTGTAAGAGTGTAAAACACCACTGTGTTGACACCATGTTTTATGTGTGAGAGTGTAAAACACCACTGTGTATGACACCAGTTTTATGTGTAAGAGTGTAAAACACCACTGTGTATGACACCATGTTTTATGTGTGAGGAGTGTAAAACACCACTGTGTATGACACCATGTTTTATGTGTAAGAGTGTAAAACACCACTGTGTATGACACCATGTTTTATGTGTAAGAGTGTAAAACACCACTGTGTATGACACCATGTTTTATGTGTGAGGAGTGTAAAACACCACTGTGTATGACACCATGTTTTATGTGTGAGGAGTGTAAAACACCACTGTGTATGACACCATGTTTTATGTGTGAGTGTAAAACACCACTGTGTATGACACCATGTTTTATGTGTGAGAGTGTAAAACACCACTGTGTATGACACCATGTTTTATGTGTGAGGAGTGTAAAACACCACTGTGTATGACACCATGTTTTATGTGTGAGTGTAAAACACCACTGTGTATGACACCATGTTTTATGTGTGAGAGTGTAAAACACCACTGTGTATGACACCATGTTTTATGTGTGGGGAGTGTAAAACACCACTGTGTGTGACACCATGTTTTATGTGTGAGAGTGTAAAACACCACTGTGTATGACACCATGTTTTATGTGTGAGGAGTGTAAAACACCACTGTGTATGACACCATGTTTCACAGAGTTCCACAAGCTGCAGAACTTCTAGGAGTATGTTCAGTGACTGTATATTGGTATATATATTATAGAACAATAGTAATAAAAAAATTTTTGTATTGTTTGTTTTTGTAAACAAGTTTTGTAAACAATATATTGATAATTATGTTTGTGTGCTTATTGTGTTGTATACAACGAGTGTATATATGTACATTGCACCTTACTTTGGTCTCATAGGCCACATAAGTTATGTGAAAAAATAAAATAGTGAAAAAAACAAACCTTCAAATACAAGTAAACCAAAGTTTACCGGTGAGCTGCAGTCGCCGCTGTTGCCATACGCGGCTCATTTTATGTAAACTTCATGCCTCTATATCTGGGTAAGTACTGATGGGAATTTTTTTTTGGGAGACTAAAACAATCAGAAAAATAATCTTAACATTTTCATAAGAAAAAATAATTTTTTTTTCGAATATTTTGCGACACCAGGAGACACTTCAGGATTGGGCCTTTCGACAGTCAAAGGGTTAAAATATATGAGAGCAGTTTAGTATATAGTAGATAAAAACAAAAAATGGGTAACATGTCAACAGTAACTACATAATAATAGTACATTGCAGTAGTAGTACATTTCCTACCTACCTGCAGTAGGTGCCAAGCCTTTGTTCACTGACAATTTGCACAGTTCATAACTCTCGGATTACCTGGAGGTTATTCCGGGGATCAACGCCCCCGCGGCCCGGTCCATGACCAGGCCTCCCGATGGATCAGGGCCTGATCAACTAGGCTGTTACTGCTGGCCGCACGCAGTCCGACGTACGAGCCACAGCCCGGCTGATCCGGCACTGACTTTAGGTATCTGTCCAGCTCTCTCTTGAAGGCAGCCAGGGGTTTATTGACAATTCCCCTAATGCTTGATGGGAGGCTGTTGAACAGTTTTGGGCCCCGGACACTTATGGTATTTTCCCTTAGTGTACCAGTGGCGCCCCTACTTTTTATTGGCTTGGTGTAGATACTCAAAAATCAGGGACAAATGAATTAATGTACAATTGCTATGGATCCCATCCCCTCAAGGAAGGTTCCTTGATGTTGGCGAGGGGCTCTTGATTTAGGGAATCGGATCTGTGCTCCAGTTCCCCGAATTAAGCCTGAATACCTTCCACATCCACCCCCCAGGTGCTGTATAATCCTCCGGGTTTAGCGCTTCCCCCTTGCTTATAATAATAATAATAATATGGATCCCATCACACACTGGATACATCCTTCATGATAAAGTTGATATGTTAGCCAATAAGAGTACCCAGAAGGAAAATGTAGAATAAAACTTTGGTATATATGTGTCTAGCATTTACCTGGCATTCACCTGGAATGTTTTTCTGGTGTCAATGCCCCCGTGACCTGGTCTGATACTAGGCCTCAGGTGGATCAGGGTGTGATCAACCAGGCTGTTACTCCTGGCTGCACGCAAGCTGTCGTACGAACCACAGCCCGGTTAGTCATGTACTGACTTTAGGTGCCTGTCAGGTGCCTTCTTGAAGATAGCCAGGAATCTATTGGTAATCCTCGTTATGTATACTTGGAGACAATTGAACAGTCTTGGGCCCCGGACACTTATTGTGTTGTCTCTCAGTGTACACATTCTTGTAGTGAATTTTTTTTTTTTATTTATTCCTTGAAGAAAACCTTGTCCCATTTGTAAATGTTGTATGCCTTGCTTCAGCATTCATGGGTTTATCATTCACAAAGTTTTAGAATTTCAGTGAGTTAGATGAAGGAATATTTTAGGAAAAGGGAGTTTGATATATTGTTGAGTGGCATCATGAAAATTATTACAATGCCACCCCACACTAAGGTAATATCCCTAACAGTATTACTTAGATTTTTGTTGACTCATTGCAATGTTATCTTTGTGAATTCTTGTCATTCATTTGATCTTAACGGACTGCTTGTACTGGTAACTGTTGATTTTCACTTGTGCAGTTTTCACATGTATAATTTGCATTTTTTACACGTTGTTATGTATACATAAAAAACACTAAATCCATTTAAGTCATTCAGCACTGTTCACACTAACTAGATTTTTAATAAAAGAGTCTTTGAGATTTCAACTTAAATATTGTTCCTAACATGCCTTAATACTTTAGGAATTCTGCGTCAACGTACTAGAATCCGCACTGTCAGTTTTAATTCCCACTGGGAGGAATTGGCAATGGCAACTTCTAAGGAGGATCGTGGTACACAAACAGAGATACCCAAGACTTACATTAAAGAACATGGGGATGAGGATGAGGATAAGCCTCCTAGATCATTAGAAGAATGTGTTGCTGTTATGAACTCTCAGGTAAGGTCATTAGCTATTGATTTATGAACACAATATTAAAAAAAAGGGAAGATAATTCTTGGTAATTACCCATGTGCCAATTTTTATATTTTTGAGCTTTTTTTTTTAATCAATATAATTATTTTGTGCTTTCTGTTTACTTGTAAAATATATTCGTACATTACAATATATGCAGATTATTTTAGTTTTTTACCATTAATGTTTGTTTATTTTCAAGAGTAATTCGTGTATCCATCAGAACCTCAGTCCGTGTCTCATTTACTCCCCTTTACACAGAACAGCCCTTTATTTTCGCCATTCTACAATATACCTTTAATTCATCCTCTAGGCTGGCAGTCCCTATTATTATCTTGTCTATGTCATTTTTTGTGACTGTTGTTCTCTAAGAATGTGGTTACTTCTTGGCAGATTCCACTTATTTTTAGTAGGCTACTGGTCTGCTAATTTAAGATTTGCTCTTTGCTGTAGTGTCCCTTCAAGGATGATGCCTGGATACCACTGAAGAACTCTTGGTCTAAGGAATTACAGCTAACCTTTCCTTCCTTGGATCAAACCTATTACCTCCCATTTCCCAGCACTATATGACCCCCTATGGATTTAGAGCTTTCCCCATAAATATAATAACGATAATATAATCTTGGCGAGTGATTAATCCTCTTCCAAAGTCACGTATATTCACCTTAACTCAAGAAGATTGTCATTTATAGGATTCATACCCTCAAATATGGTTGCTTCACTTGATTGTGGCTCTTCATGTATTATTCTTTACTTGTCTCGGATTCCCTATTCTTTAAAATACACTATATGATTCTGTTTACCATTCCTCTAAATATTTTATCTCCCTTGTTGAATAAATCACTCTTAAAATCTTTTCTTAATTTCATGACACCTTTATCTCTAGAGTTAATTATAATTTCCATATCTAGTCAATCATATTTCATCCTGTCATGTACAGTACTGTATGCTTTTCATGTTGCTTAGTGTTATACAGTGGTACCCGAGTTTCGTACTGCTCCCAACTCCAATAATTATGTAAGTGTATTATTGTAAGTGCTTTTGTAAGTGTATTTTTGGGGGTCTGAAACGGACTTATCTAATTTATAGTATTCCTTATAGGAACAAATTCGTTACGTAACAGCACTCGAACAGCCTTCTGGAACGAATTACTCGGGATACCACTGTATATTGTTTAGAAGACATTGTGAATTTCTCTCCTATGATTTTTTTTATATTTATAAAACCTGAAACAGAGCTGTTGAGTGAGGGATGGTGAATGTGTTTCCTTCTTTGGGTCACCCTGCTTTGGTGGGAGATAGTCAATATGAAAAAAAATAATCTGCAGTGTATATAATCATGGTAATTTCTTAACAGGGAGGTGTGAGATCATTAACTAATAAAGAAATTGTACAAATGGTGGAGAAGAAACATGTTCCAAGCTACAAATTAGAGACAGTTTTGGGCAACCCACTGAGAGCTGTTGGTATTCGTAGAGCAATTGTGGCACCACACACTGCTAAACATGGCTCCATGGATGCTCTGCCATATGACAACTATGATTACACTAAGGTAAAAAAATTGCACATTGAAATTGATACAAATACAAATAATTTATTTCTTTTCTGCTGTATACAATGTAGTTTATATGTAATAAAATACACCTACCATCCGATTTACGACCTGCTCGACTTACGACCACTCGACTTACGACCACTCGACTTACGACCGTGTTTTTTATGCCAAATTTCTGGGAAATAAACAACTATTTGTGTTGTACACAGTGTTTATCCTAAACCTTACAGTATAAAATACAGTACTAACAGCATAAAAAGTAAAGTAAAACATGAAATACCAAAATAAAACAATAAAATAGTCATTACAAAAATGTTTTGTTGATATTCAGTAGTAAAGTTCGACTTACGACCGGTTTCTCGGAACCGAACTCGGTCGTAAGTTGAATGGTAGGTGTATTGTTAGGCACAAAAGAAAGCCACTAGCATGTGGTGCATTTTGGGCAGGTGAAGTTAACACTGTAATGGTAAGTGAGGAGTATACTGTAGATAACTACAGTATTTGGAAAGGTAGAAATCTTGTGAAAAATAAAATAATTGATAGTATTTTTTACTATTTTAGGGAGGGGGGTTAAAGAGGTTTTGTGTGCAATGGGCTTGGACATGCAGCAGGCATGTGTAAGCATAGCATGTTAGAAAGGAGTGAATGGAGATGAATGGTTTTTGGGACCTGATGAGCTGTTGGAGTATGAGCAGGATAATATTTTGTGAAGAGATTCAGGGAAACTGGTTAGCCAGACTTGAGTTCTGGAATGGGAAGTACAATGCCTGCACTTTAAAAGAGGGGGTTTGGGATATTGGCTTTTTGGAGTGGCATCAGAACTGTTGTATCTGAGTGCCTCTGCAAAGACAGTGATTGTGTGAAGGATGGTGGGAGATGGTTGATGTGTTAAATTTTTTTTTTTTTTGATACAAAATTATGTTATATTTTACATTGTTTCAGGTGATGGGTGTATGCTGTGAGAATGTAATAGGTTATGTACCTATACCAGTGGGTGTTGTTGGTCCTCTACTTATGAATGGAAAAAAGTATATGGTTCCCATGGCAACTACTGAAGGGTGCTTGGTTGCCTCTACCAATCGTGGTTGTCGTGCTTTGGTTAATGGAGTGAAGAGTACAGTAATCCGTGATGGAATGACTAGGGCTCCTAGTGTTCGGCTTCCTACCGCTGCACGAGCTACGTAAGTATACCTGTAATGAACCTTAAACTAGTTTTGTGGGTTAAACTCACATTTATGTACTAGTTATCTCTGAATTTTTTTGTACAGTGATTACCTAAGTTTCTGTGTAGTAAGTTTTGAATGAACAGACTGGGTTATACAATGGTTCATTTCCCTTTATTCTGAAGCTGATCATCATCATTATTATTATTATTGTTGTATATTTGCCAATAGTGAGGTGCATTATTATTATATATTCACCAACAGGGAGGTGTACACATGGACTAGAAATAGAGAGAACTTTGCTATCATCAAAGAAGGATTTGATTCAACCAGCCGTTTTGCTCGTCTACAAGAATTGCATGTTGGAATTGCTGGACGATTACTGTACATGCGCTTTGTGGCTCAAACTGGTGACGCTATGGGGATGAACATGGTATCCAAGGTATGGAAATAGTCTAAGCTATACATATAGTATTAATTTGTATCATACAACTGCCATAAAAAATTACACCTGAATAAATTTAAACAGTTGGCATATTTACAGTGTCTTTCTGTACAGTTTTTTAATTTATAAACCTAAGGTAGTGACAAAAATAGATATTAATTTAGGGATCAGATATTGGTTGGTCTGTCCTGATGTCATGTTATTTAAATACAATTTTTTTTTTTTGTAAAGCAGATGTGGCATATTAGAGAAAGAAGAAAAAAGGTGTAAAGTTATTAAACATCTCCAGCTTGTTGATTGCTCTTTATTAAGAATGGAGATGGGAAGTACAATGCTTGCACTTTAAAGGAGGGGTTTGGGATATTGGCAGTTTGGAGGGACATCTAAACTGTTGTATCTGAGAGCCTCTGCAACGACAGTGATTATGTATGAGTGATGGTGAAAGTATTGAATGATGATGAAATTTTTTTTTCTTTCTTATTGGGTCACCCTGCCTCGGTGGGAAATGGCCGACATGTAAAAAAAAAAATCAGACTGGAGGTGGGAAGTACAGTGCCTGCACTCTAAAGGAAGGGTGGGGATATTTGCAGTTTAGAGGGGCATCTGAACTGCAGTACTGGCATGCCTCTGGCTAGACAGTGATGGTGGGATACGGCCATTGTATTAAAAATAAAATTCAATTTTAACCTATGAGCCATCGCACACCAAGGGGGCACAATGTCTTGGCAGGAAATGGTCATAGAGTTAAAAAAAATAATAAATACAATTTCATATATATTTGTTTCTGCTTAAACTTTTGTGTTATCACTGGTTATTGACATTTTTCTTCTCATTTTAAGGGTACAGAGGCAGGACTCAAGACCCTGAAAAAATACTTCCCAGACCTTGAGGTCTTGAGTGTTAGTGGCAACTATTGTGTGGACAAAAAGCCGTCGGCCATTAATTGGTACGTAGGATGAAAATGCAATAATAGTGTTTAACACGTAATGACTGTATAATGTATGTTCCTATATTGGCATAGGTCCTAGTATGTAGCAGTTGATTTAATTTCCTGGCATAACATATTGGTGTACATTACAACCTGTAAGTTGTACTGGTAGTTCCTGGAGTTGACATGCACCCTGAAACCTTGGAAAAGAGGAAAATTCACTAGTTTGAGTAAATTATATATACATATTTTTATATATATTGGCAGTTTGGAGGGATATGTTGTGTATCTTTATACGTATATGCTTCTAAACTGTTGTATTCTGAGCACCTCTGCAAAAACAGTGATAATGTGTGAGTGAGGTGAAAGTGTTGAATGATGATGAAAGTATTTTCTTTTTGGGGATTTTCTTTCTTTTTTGGGTCACCCTGCCTCGGTGGGAGACGGCCGACTTGTTGAAAAAAAAAAAAAAAAAAAAAATTTATATATATTTCTTTAAATATGATTTGCTTAATATTAACATTCATAAGACGGAATAAAAAAAATGGGCTCTAATAAAAAATGTGAATAATCAAAGCTATAAAGAAATTAGCCTTCAATAAAGATTTCGTATAATATAATCATACAGATTAAATGTGAATTTTTGGTTTCACATTGAAAACAAGCATTGAAAACAAGGTTAATAAGTTCCACTCTTTCCAGGATTGAGGGCCGAGGCAAATCTGTTGTGTGCGAAGGTATTGTGCCTAGCAAAGTGGTTACGTCCATCCTGAAAACTACTGTGGCAGCTCTTGTAGAAGCCAATATTACTAAGAATTTGGTAGGATCATCATTAGCTGGTTCAATAGGAGGCAACAATGCTCATGCAGCAAATATCGTAGCAGCAGTATATATCGCATGTGGTCAGGTAAATTTTCTCTTCACAATGTGTAGAATATTGCTTACCTTCTGATGCTCATTGATATTCTGTATCAGACCTTAACTAGGTTCCATGTCATGGACAATAAGTAACCTAATTACTCATGGGTAAAAAAAAAAAAAAAGGCAAGTATGGCGACACCTGAAAATCCTTATGTGCATGTTTTTACTGAAAGTCATTCCATGAATAAATTTAACAATCATGTATTTTTTGACTATTTTCATTTGGTTTGGTTCATGAGTTATTATTATTACAATCAAAACTAGGCATTAAACCCTCAAGGATTGTGCATGACTTAAATTGACAACTAATTTGAAAAAAAAAAAAAAAAAAGTGTGCCTTTAGGGTGTTTAGTTCCAGCTTTTTGGGATTGTTATTTATCTCCCATAACTTTTCAGTTCACCTCGTACCCATTTAGCTACAACTCAGTCCCACACCTCAACAGCTCTGTCAAATGCTTCTAAAACTTTCCCACATTCATAAAATTTACTCCATACTCTTCCAACTCCCACTCTTTTTTTTCCTGCACCATAACTCGAATCACAGCTCTGTCCCAAACTCCTACCACATTCAACCCCATTCTATCAATATGCACTAACACTACCACCCACTTCCACACCTCAAACATCCCTCCAGCTTGCCCCTACACACCGTCTGTTTTTGGACATAAATGAATACCAAGCATTGCTTAGTGCATGAGCTTATTATTTTATCATCATTATGATGGGTTAGTGGTAAACCCATAGGGGTCATACAGTGACAGCTTGTAACAGTTTTCTGTGAAGGTTATGAAAGTTAGCAGTTGTATAGCTCCTGAGTGAAAACAATTTTTTATAATCAAGTAGTCCATATAAATTATGATAAAACCAAGTTATTTTTCAGTAAGAAAAATAGTTTCTGATACTTGAGATATATTTTTTCAGGATCCTGCTCAAGTGGTTGGAAGCAGCAACTGCATGACCTTGATGGAAGCTTGGGGTGAAAAAGGAGAGGACCTACACATAACAGTCACCATGCCCTCTCTAGAAGTTGGCACAGTGGGTGGAGGCACTGGACTTGGACCTCAGTCTGCCTGCTTGACTATGCTTGGGGTTAAAGGTCAGTATTAGGTTATGGAAAGATGACATCCAATATTGCCACTCTTGATATATGGAATGTCATTTCAGTATGACTGTTGTGGGATGTAAAGGAATTGTTTTGTTGTGACTATTTATAATATGCAGGACAGGGAATAATAAAATTTTCTTAAATATTTGTTTACTTAAGTTACTGTACATAAAATTACAATAGGAATACTTCATACATATAAAGATCAATTTATTATTCATGGGAAACACTAAGCCCATAGGGATAATACAGCACTTTGAGAATGGGAGGTAATGAGGTTTAATCCACTGAATGGAAGGGTAGCTCCATGAGCCTTTCACCAGCTTTAGGGCACCCTTTTCCTGGAGGGATAATGAATAATCAAGAAGATCTGACAAGATTATTTAATTCTTTCAAACTGTATGGCCCTTGTGGGTTTAGCTCTTAGTTTTGATTGTAATAAAAGTAATTGTTTTAAACTTTTGTATTTTCTAGGAGCACACCAAGAAAACCCAGGTGAGAATGCATGCCAGTTAGCAAAGATAATTGCAGGAACAGTGCTAGCTGGTGAGCTTTCCCTGATGTCTGCACTAGCAGCAGGACACCTGGTGAAGAGCCACTTGGCTCACAACAGGGCCAAAAGTGGAACCAGTTCACCTTCTGCATCTATTACCAATGGTGGGGTTCCAACTGCAGCTGCTACCATCACCACTTCCTCAGTAACTGATATTTCCACTAATGCAGATAGCCATCCAACTGGGAAGGCTGTTGTGCCTGCAATAAATTCTAGCACTACAAGTGACAAAGTGGAAGCTTTTGGTGCAAAGCCAATTACAAATTGTTTTGAAAGAGGCAATACAATAGTCAACAAGGCAGCCACCCAAAAAACTAATTTACCACCAACTGGTGTAGTGATTGATGGTAAACAAGGAGACAGTGGACTGAGTGAAAAGGCTGTCACTTCAAATATGTCACCTTGTCTAGATCCAGCAAATTTTTCAGTGCCACATTTTAGTGACAGGTAAAAAGAATTAAAAAAAAAAAAAAAAAAAAAGGTTGTGACTGAGGGTAATATCTCTAGTAGATTTATTGCATTACCTTGATGGTGCTGGAAAGATTCCCTGCTCTTATACTAATATAAAACGGTATACTTGGAAAGTGTTATTCTTTTAAGTATATTATTTCTTGTGAAGAGATTCCATTTATTCAGCTTATGCTGTTGTGGTTAGTAAACTGCATCAGCACTTAAGGTCTTATTTATTTTGCCATCAAAGTTTTATATCGATAGAAAAATTGTTTTATGTTTTAAAGTGACGTAAATACAGTACATAGAATTATGCATGTATGTTATGTAATACAGCAAAATAAAAGTTATTTTTTGTTATTTTGTCATTTTCTTTGCAAGTTTTGAATATTATTATAGCAAACACTAAATCTTTATCTTGTTTGTGGTGAATGAATGAAATAAAGAAGTGTCAGGTATAAAAAAAAAAAAAATCTTGTGTAATAATGTTATAATCTTGGGGAAGTCCTAAAATAATTGGGGTCATACAGTGGCAGGAAAATTGAAACCAATTTGGATTAATTTGAAGACTACAGTTTCAATTTCTTAGATCAAGAGCCTTTCATCAGAACCAATACATCTCCCCAGCAACAGTGCAAAAGTAAAAGTCAATAATTGTTCCAGTTCATATGGCAAGTGTCCAGATACACTGACCAGTTTGTTTACACCAAACATTGATACAATGTCCTCGCCCAAGGGGTGGAGGGAAGTTATCCTGCTGCGGCATTCCACAGCAGTAATGTATGCCACTAATGGAAATAGTGGTGCACTGTAATAGTAATGAATTATTGTTATAATCAAAAAGAAGATAACAGTAATGAAGCACTATCGAAAATGGAAAAGTAAGTTTAATTCGTAAGCTGCTGAAAATGAGCTATGATCAGAAGACTTGCAAGGGCTGACTGTGTATCTATTCACCCATCACTAAACATAAATAATATGAAAGTTTAAAATGCATTTCTCAATTACTAATTAAAAATTTTTATGCCTTCGTAATTTGCGTGTGCAGTTTTGTATATACACTAGTGTATGTATATGTTTGTGATTTTTTTTCACATTCACAGAGTATTGTATATGAATATAATTTGGATTATCAGTTACCTACATCCATTTCCTTACTGCAGTACTGTATAATTTTTAACTATGGTATTCTGGATTCCTTTAATGTAGTGAAAAGTTTTACAAACTAAAACTTTGCACAAGTTGTATTTTATATTTAGCATTTGATGCCACGCTTCACCAAGGCATATCTTCCCTCTTAAGTGGAAGACTGCATACAAGTTAGTATATCTTATCAATCTTAGGTGTTGGGATTTAGCCTTTGAACCAGGCACTGAAGGTAGCTATGACAATCCCTGTGGGCATTTTTGTTTAAAGATTTTATGGGATATTCGACTATCAAGAACTGAATACTGTACATTATTGTTTGTGTGGAAATGCTAAACCCATGAGGGTAACACTACCTGTAAAATAGGAGGTAATCATGTGTTGAAACTGAGAACAGTAAAAAAAAAAAAAAAGTTACCTCTTTACTGTGTGTAGAAGTGTGCAGCGTTACACAATCTTTGCTATCTAATACGGGTTTAGTGCTCGTTTTTAATATACTAAATAATAATTTATCATACCTGTGATATACTTGTGACTGGTTTTAAGACTTTCCAACTCCTACGGCCAGCCTGGTAACCATGATTTTCTGTTGCTTGCCTGGTGAACCTGGCTTTTGCTTTTTGGCAGCTCCCTGTCCCACATATCCATCACATCCTGGTTGATCTTGTACTTGGCAGGGGTAGAGATCAATTTTCTGCTTGAAAACTTCTACACTTGTTTCAAGCAATCTTTCTGATATCTTTTAGAATAGTTGCAATTCACAGATGTCTTACTGTGCCCATGGCACCCTTGTATAATACAAAATATTCATTAATTTTTTCACTAGTATTGAAACACAGTACTTACAATATACACATACATTGGCCACCACTTTAGCATGTTTCACTGTGTAATAGCCTAGTATGGAAGTTAAAAAACAAAAAAAAAATTACACATACTCTTTACTTCAAAATATCTAATACTGTATACTTATGTACATAACCACCTATAACACTGTACTATTATCTTGAACACTATTGATACAAATATTCATTTCACTTGCCAGTGAAGCAGTTATCAGAAGTCCCTCAATACGATTCTGATGTGTTTACACAATTTAAGTATACAGAACCGTTGCTATTATTGGCACTTATCTATATAACTAGTATACAACAATGATACTTCTGTTACTGCAAAAATGTCTGACCTTGTGACTGCCAGAAAATTGTTAACTCTTTCACTTTCTCTTGCATAGATCTATGTTACTGATGCCAGTGTTGCTTCCGTAGATCTGTGTTGCGAGTCTAGCTCCCTCAGATAAGCTGTGAGTAGTAAATTTTGACCTAGACATGAGAGAATGGGTCAGTGCAGTGAGTGTGCACGTATATAGAAAAATCCTGCTCTATGCAGTGCATAATTTGAAGAAGCACACCTTTGACCTTGTGTCTGGTTTAAAATACCAACTGAGGTGTTTTCTAGGTTGGGTTTTATGGCTGTTTCTTGGTATTATTTGATAGAAAAAAAACACACACTGAAAGAGATGATTCTGGTTGATTTCAGACTTGAAGTAACTTGAAATTGGGCTCTTGAATTTGGTCAAATTAAGGAATGAAGATCGCTCAAAAAATTAGCATTTTTGATGTCATTACCTCCAGAAAAAAGATTAGTTACCATTTTGGATTTTTTTTTTTTAATTCCAACAGTCAACAATTTTAATTTTGAGGGTCCTGACAGTGAAAGCATTAAACACATTTTTTTTTTTAACTCTACACAAGTTTATCTCTAAGATGTTTTCCCAACACACATTAATCATTTTTAATCTGATCTTACGATTTATATATAGACTGTACCGTGCAATATGGACGTCTCGTCTGGTTACCCATTAGGACTCGTATGACATACACCCACATTTCTTCTCAGTGGAAGGAATTCGTGTTATGTAATGCTTCAAGCTCATCAGGATTTTCCTTTCTTGATGGGGCATTTAGAGTGGTAGCAGCACTCTCTGTATCTTTATATTCATGCAACTGCAAGCCCACATCACTATCTTTGGTACTACAATCAGCCTGGGCAAATAGCAAATGGCCAATAGTTTGTGGAGTGAGGGGATGTCAAAGATGAGACATGTTGGTATGGTACTTGAAACAAACTGTTATCACAATGCCCAGTGTAGCTGAGGAATATTTTGTTGGTGCAAAAATGACACAGGCTTATTTTATTCTGAGTAGGCTTAACATTCCCAATTGCAGCCATTTTTGAGGGAGCTAGAATTTAAACACTGATCTATTGTGGGGGGGGGGGGGGTAAATGCATACCTACTGATCAATGTGTGTGGCAGTTTAAGGGTTAATGGTTGTAAACGAGACACAAACTAGCATTTATTTTTTGAAAATAAAATAATTCAGTATATTAGTCTGGTTGCCTGATTTTATCACTGAAATTTTCCTACATAAATAAGAAAAGATACAAAATTTTAGAGATAAAGTAAAACTGTGTCCATAACATTGGAATACTCTAAAATATATACAGTGGACCCCCGGTTAACGATATTTTTTCACTCCAGAAGTATGTTCAGGTCCCAGTACTGACCGAATTTGTTCCCATAAGGAATATTGTGAAGTAGATTAGTCCATTTCAGACCCCCAAACATACACGTGCAAACGCACTTACATAAATACACTTACATAATTGGTCGCATTCGGAGGTGATCGTTATGCGGGGGTCCACTGTATATTAAACTGTACTATCTATATTCATGGGAAGCACTTGTGCCTGTAAGTACTGGAGAAATAAAGAGGCAATCAGGTTTAATTAAAAATAGAGGGGCAGTTCCAATTTCTTGGGTAAAGAGCCCATCACTTTTGTTCAGTTACTAAAGAGCCATTACTGTATGTTATGGTGCCCCTTGAAATTATTATATGATAGTGCTTACACGGGTAACTAGGCCAATTTGTCTTTTGCCTTGCTCATTTGTTCCTTACAATTCACATACATAAATATCTGTTGGGTCAGCAATTAACTAAAAAAAAAAAAAAAAAAAAAAATCCCGGCATGATCATTTACATGCATAAAATTTTAAAATGATAATAGCTTTCAGTTTTTTGTAGTATAGCTTATTGCTGAACATGTAATTAAAAACTATGCCCCTATTTTTTAATGAAAGCAGCTGCTGTTAGTACCTAGCATCAGAGCATTACTGTTTAAGCACTTGTAGTCTTCCAATAGATTTAGCAGCATTAATGTAGTATATAGAAAAAATTACATTGCATATTTATACTAATTCTTAAGTGCACTATGGTATAGGTACTCACAGTATTACTGCATATCAATTTATATAATACAGGACTATGGGAAAGCATGTTTATGTATAGATAATCTGGCCAATAGAAAAGGCTTGTCTGCTTGGCTAAATATTTTGTATGTAAATGGTGAAATACCATAGTGGTCAATGAATGCCAGGAACATGTATTCATGTATATTCGTAGATATCAATGGTCAGCTAGTAAATGAATGTGTAATTTCCACTGTATTGAAGAAAAGTCATAATTTCTACAATTTAATGACAATATATGTTTAAATGTAAATCTTTCAATTTAGAGCTAAACCTCTTTCAGTGTCAACTTTTGTGCTATTACAGCAACAGAGAATATATATACCTTACAGTATGTCAAAATTTTAATACTATTTTTGCAGATGCATGAATGATAAAAGCATGGAAAGAAAGAAACTTTCAGGTGTTCATATTTTCTTCACAATAAAGCCTTAAACCTGAATAAGTAATACAGTACCAGACAGCAAGAAAAAGACGTGTGTAAGATGAGGTATATACTGTTACCTTGGAGTTTTTGAAGAGTTTCTACTTCCATAGTCTGGCTTTAAGCCAGGCTTCTTTGGTGCTTGCTTGG